TTGCCCCTGCATCTCAATTCTACCTGCTACCCAGTCCCACCTATAGTCCTCCCTCCCCATTCTCCACACGCATCACCCCTCATGGCCACAGACATAGATCTGGATCCCAAATTCTGCCTACATATCCCAGAGGAGAAGTTTTCTAACTGTCTCTCCCACTTTCACCGCCCCCCGTCCCCATATTTCCCATTCTGCACTAACCCCTTACCCACCCCAGTGACTGAGGGGGATTTTAAAATAGGATTAGAGTTCTGTGCTTATGATTTGTGCATTTTTAGTATGCATGTTTATTCCTCATTGACTAGTTTGACAGTGATAAAAGAAGCGTCAGGAGTTTAATAAAAAATTGTAAACCACTATATACCATTAGATCCGCAACTGTCTTGTAATGCAATCTGAGTCCGGGTGAGGTGCCCCTTCTGTGGAACCCCATGGCCTACTCCAGCTTACATGTCTCACCAAGGAGACCTGTCCTGTCTGATTCTTGCCAAGAGCCCATGTGGCTTTTAAAATTTAAATTAATTAATGGGTTGGATGAGTGGGTCAAGTAGCAAAAGCACCCACCTTGCAAACATGAGGCCCTGGTTTCAAATCCTAGGGCCACCAAAAATAAATAAATAATTATATTTAAATTAATTAAAATTAAACAAAATTTAAAAAGCAGTTCCTCAACTGCATTAGGCACATTTCAAGTGCTTAGTAGCCCCATGGGGACAGTGGCAAGTGTGTTAGCACAGATACTGAATAATTTTTCCCACTATTGAAGAAAGTGTGATAGGACAGCGACCATGAGTTCCAGGAAGGTGGAAATGCATTTTTTTTGGTGCCAGCACACTGCGGTGCCAGCTCTGATGCTAAATATCAAGTATTGAATGAATCCACACTGTCATGTGCTACAAAAGGCCCAGCAATAGCTTCACTACCTGCCTCCCGCTTACTCCTCTTGCCTTCCAGAACACGGTTGCTAGTTCAGTTTTGACTGGGGCCCTGGCCCAGGGCCTTTGCTCCTGCCAAACCATCTCTCTCTCTCTCTCTCTCTCTCTTTCTCTCTCCCTCCCTCTCTCGTTCTCTGTGTGTGTGTGTGGGGGGGTGCGAAATAGGAGTAAAGGATTGGTACAGGAAGAGGCAGTCCATGTAAAGAAACACCAGGTGTCCAGGTCTCCAGGTCTCTAGAAGCTCAAGTTTGAGTCTCTGGCAGTGACTGCTCCCACAGATACAGTGGACACTCAGGCTTTGTTTGACTTCTGGCCATGTTTTCCAGCAGCTGTGTGACTTTGGGCAAGATGCTTGACCTCTGTGAACACACTGCATACACTGTGTGTTTCCACAGTAGAAAGGACTGTTTCCTTGTCGATGTGCATAATAATATCTAGGTACATCGATAATGAGCACATTAAATAAGCTGTCAGGGGCTCAGTTATGCTGCTTGTTGCTTTCTCAAAGTAGAGGACAGAAAAATCCCTTCCTCAAATATCATTCAGATCATGGCCCACAGGCACTTGCTTGGTTGGCACTTAACTAGCAGAGGAGGACAAATATAATTCATGACAGATCTTTTTGCCTTCAAGCAAGAGGCTTATTATCAGTTCCATTGCTCTTATCTCCAAGGCACCTGGCTCAACTTCTCTCTGCCAGCCAGTTCAGTCTGTTTGGCTTTCTCTCTGCCATCGTCTCGTCATATTACACACCTGAAATGCCCGTCCTCCCCATTCTTTCCAAAACCCAGGCTCTACTTCCTGAATGCAGATTTTTCTCTTAAGCCTGCCTGACTCAGCCTTTCCAGTTTCAAGATTGCTAATCACTGAAAGGTATTTCATGCTTACCTCAACCTTCATCCACCCCCTTAGGAACTATGATGTAACACAGCACCTGGCAAACCTGCACCTGTGGGAATCTGTGCTCCATGGTTGTACCTCTGAGTATATATAGAACAGGAAACAAGAACAGGTAGTAGTCAAAAGAAAAAAAAAAAAAAGATGGCAAGTTGGGAAGACTGGACCAGACCAGACACAGGGGCCCCATTTGGCTACCTACTATGTGGGTGGCCCTCAGAAGATATTTAATGTTTCTAAACCTTAGTTGCTTTGCATGTTTGCCATAAAGGTTAGAAATAATAATTATTATAATTATTATTATTGTTGCTACTGTTACTACATACTGAGCCCTTACTCAGTGCAGTTATTATTTTAAGCACTTTACATAAATTATTTATTTAATCTTAACTTCATCTCAAGCAGCTAGATTTTTTTTTATGTTACTGTTGAAGAAACTGAGACTGAGAGGAAACTTGAGTAACTCATCCCCAAGTCACACAACTAATAAGTGACCAAATAGGATTTGTACCCAGGCAGTTGGCTCCAGAGTCCATGTCTTTTTTTTTTTTTTTTTTTGGTGGTACTGGGGTTTGAACTCAAGGCCTTATGCTTATTAGGCAAGCACTCTACTTGAGGCACATCCCCAGCCTCCCCTCACCTTTTGTTTTCTTTTTTGAGACAGGGTCTAACTGTGTATTCCAGGTCAGCCTCAAACTCATGATCCTCCTGCCTCAGGCTCTTGAGGGTTGGGACTACAGGCATGCACCACAATGACCATGTTCTTAACCACTCTCCTGCTCCTTGCTACATGTGGTCCTGTGTGTGCACACACACCTCTTATATGCAGAGTTCCCATCACATTGCCTGGCACAAAAATAATCAGCAAGTTGGGTAAATCTCTTACTTGGACTACAAGTACTCGAGTCCAGAAAGAGTATCTCTTTTCCAGTGTAACTTGTTACAGGACCTAGAAAAGGACAGGGAATACAGTATTTCTAGGGTCTTAGAGAGGTATGGAGGAAATATAAAGATTTAAAGCCAGCCAGGTATGGCGATGCATCCCAGTAATCCCAGTACTCTGGAAACTGAGGCAGCAAGATTGCAAGTTCAAGGCCAGCTTGGGCTATATTGTGAGACCCTGTCTCAAAAAAAAAAGAGATTTAAAGCCATATTTTCTTACTCAGATGTGAGTTATAAATATACACATGCTACATGGACATACACTTCTCACAAAAACATCACACAGCCAGGTGAAGTGGTCAGATTCTGTAGTCCCAGCTTCTCAGGAGGCTGAGCTGGATCACTTGAGCCCAGAGTTAGTCCAGGCCATGTACATGTCCCCTCATCGCTGAACGCTGACCACACACACTGGAGGCCCAACCAAGCCAGCCCTTACCATGTGGTATTTTGGTCATTCATTCAAATAACTACCAAAAGGGGGAGGGAGGGATGGGGGCAGGGGGGAGAAATGGCCTAAACAATGTATGCACATATGAATAAATGAATAAAAAAATAACTACCAAAAGACTACTAAGAACTGAGGCCTGGTATTAGAGAGGTAAAATCAAAAAGTATGGTTCTTGGCATCTGGGAGCTTTCAATCTGATTGGAAATGGTGGCACACAAACCAAGTCCTATGTACAGTAGGCACAGAGAAAAAAGCGCTATCTTCACCAAAGTGTATGAAGGGCTATCAGATGGCGGGTATTTTGGAGAACATACTGGAGGTGACCCTTGTGTTTAATCTTAAAGATGAACAGGAACCAGGGAGAATTGTGGAGGAAGGAGAGTAAAAAAGAAGCCACAGATTAACACATTTGGCTACAATAAAGTTTTCAACAGGATCAGGTAGGACCCAGAGGGGAGGCAGGGCCCAACTGCCAAAATGCCTAAAGTGCTATGATGAGAGATTCTAATTCTGTATGCAATGATGTCAGGAGCCATTGAAGGCTTTTTAAAAATTTTATTTATTTATTTTTGGTGGTATTGGGGGTTGAACTCAGGGCCTTGTGCTTGCTAGGAAGGTTCCCTACAACTTGAGCCACTCTGCTGGCCCCCCCGCCATTGAAGGCTTTAGGCAGAGATATGACATCAAATGTCCATTTTTAAAAGACTGACTCAGCAACACAGATGATTGACAATACAGAGTGGAGATAGAAAACATTAAGACATTCAAGTCTTAGTGGCAGGGGGAATGGAGAGATTAAGAAGTGAGGAGGAATCCCAGAAAAAGTAGTGAGACCCTGTCTTAAAAACAAAATTAAAAACAGCAGGCCTGAGGGCACAGCTCAATAGTAGGGCACTTGCCCTAGGTTCAATCCCCAGTACCATTATAAAAAAAGTGAGAAGGGAATAGTGCCATTCACTACAACAAGAACAATAAAGGTCAATGTTTAGATGGTGGACAATGATACCATTTGGGTTTGAGGAATTGCTGGGACACCAAGATGATAGCCTGTCTGTTTGAAACAAGGTCTCACTATGTAGCCCAGGCTGACCTTGAGCTCACAATCCTCCTGCCTTAGTCTCCTGAGTAGCTGGAATTACAGGCATAAACCACTGCAACTGGCTTTTTCCAATAGGTTTTCGAATATGTATACATATATATTTATTATTATTACAGCTCGGTGAGACATCTCGGCTGGAGATATAAATTCGAGTGTCATCAGCTAACAGACGGTAATTAAAACCATGAGTGTGGATGAAATCATCAATCGAAAGTGTCGGACCAGAAGATCTGTGGGCCTGGGGAAGCGTCAATCCCCCCAACTTCAACCCAAGTTGAAGACCTGAACGTGTTAACATTCTGTGCAGTGAAAAGGGGTGAGCCAGGCGGCCTGAAGGTCAACCAGCATTTAGGAAAGGTGAACAGATGAAAGCAGCTGAAGGTGCAGGAGAAGCCAGGACAAAGTCAGTAGCACCAAAGCTGAAAAGGTCTGGGGAGGTGAGTACAAGAAAGTGCATCCGTTAGAGTTGACAACTGGGAGGCCGCTGTGGCCAGAGTAAGTCAGTGTAGAGCGACGATGTGTTTTTCGGCTGTTGGAGAAACCTCTTCAGCTGGATCGCAGTTGGACTTGCTAACTGGAAAAGCCACCCCAGCTCTTTTCACGCGCACGCCACAGTGCGCGTGCGCGCTTGAGCACGCCAGGCAGCTAATCGGAATTTGCGCCTCCCGAGCAGGCCCTCTCCGCTGCGGGCGCTCCCCAGGCCTGCAGAGGGCGCTGCGCCTCAGTCGGCCGGGGTGTGGCGTCGCTCTAGCACGCGCCTCGGCTCGGTGGCCTGTGCAGCAGCTCGGCGTTCCCCGCGCCTCCTCCCAGCACAGGTGGGTCCGCCCGCGGGGGCGGGGGTGCCTGGGAGCGGTGGGGCGGGCGGGCAATGGCAGTCTCTCGGGCGTGGAGTAATCTTTATGGCCGAGGTGCCCGGGCTCTGACTGTGGGTCGGGAGGATCGGGTTATTGGAAGGACTGCGCGGGTGGAGGTCCCATTCCTGGTGATCTCTTCTCCTGGACGCGCAGTCCCTGTACATGGACCCCTTTACACTTCAGGGGTCTCCGCCGCGCTCACGTGCGACTTCCAGGGGACATCTGGGGGAGGGGCTGGTATGGGCGGGGCACCGTGATTGACACCTCTCTCCCCAGACTTCACGGGTTACCCCTGGACCCCTCCCCTGTCCTGACCGCTGAACCGACACCATGGTGAGATCCCTGAGCCCAGCCGCTCACCTCTGCATGCCCATGCCCACGCCCCCCGAGGCTGTGCCTTCATTACCCCATACGACCCAGGAACTCCACAGTGTGGGGGTGGGAGGGGCTGCAGGTCTGCCTGCGTTCTTCCAACCTGGCCATCCTTGCAGCACGGGCGCCTGAAAGTGAAGACGTCAGAAGAGCAGGCAGAGGCCAAAAGGCTAGAGCGGGAGCAGAAGCTGAAGCTCTACCAGTCAGCTATCCGAGCTGTCTTCCAGAAGGTGGGGTGCTCAGAAGTAGCCCCAAGTGACCCCTTTAGTATAGCACATAGGTCAAGAGCTGGGCCCTAGAGCCAAACTGTCCAGATTCAAATCCAGGTTCTATCACTTACTAGCTATGACCTTGGGCAAGTTACTTAATTTCTTTGGGCCCCAATTTGCTCATCTGTTAAGTGGGGCTAACATACTACATAAGACTGTTCTGCAGAGTAAATGAGAGAATACCTGTGTGGCCATAAAATACTTTGCATAGTACCTGTTGGATAGTATGGGTTCACAGAATTTTGGGTAATTCTGAGTTTAATATTTAGCCCTGTGGTAGGAGAATGCCATGATCTCTGACCTTGCAATCTGTCTTCTCAGCGCCAGGCTGGTGAGCTGGATGAGTCAGTGCTGGAATTGACAAGCCAGATTCTGGGAGCCAACCCTGATTTTGCTACCCTCTGGAACTGTCGACGAGAGGTGCTCCAGCAGCTGGAGGACCAGAAGTATGTAGGGATTCAGGGTTTCAGGAAGTCCATCCTTGCCCTGCCCTTGCCCTGCCCTTGCCCTGCCTGGGTCCAGGTTGGAGGATGAATGGAACAACTAGGGGTATAGAGATAAGGTGATAGGGGACTGGGTGTAGAAAATGAGGGGAGCGCTGAGGTTGATTGAGTGTTGAAGGGCCCCGACCCCCTTTTCCTGTGGTTGCAGGTCCCCTGAGGAATTGGCTGCTCTGGTGAAGGCAGAATTGGGCTTCCTAGAGAGCTGCCTGCGTGTGAACCCTAAGTCATATGGTACCTGGCACCACCGCTGCTGGCTGCTAAGCCGCCTACCTGAGCCCAACTGGGCCAGGGAGCTGGAGCTGTGTGCTTGCTTCCTTGAGGTGGATGAGCGGAACTGTACGTGCCACAGATCAGTCTCCACAGCCCTCATGTGGTGGTACTAGGGTGGGGAGGAATGCCCAGGATTGGGCTACTGGTGCTGGTGCTGAAAGGGATGATGGAGCCGGATGCATCCTCCGTGGTGTGTTTTGAGGTGTTTCTAGGGGGTCTTCAAGGGAACTCTAGGGGTGCCAGTGAGTTAGTTTCACTTTGCCCTGCTTCTAAGATATGCTATCACCCCACCCTCAGTTCACTGCTGGGACTATCGACGGTTTGTGGCTGCACAGGCAGCTGTGGCCCCTGCAGAGGAGCTCGCCTTCACTGACAGCCTCATCACCCGAAACTTCTCCAACTACTCCTCCTGGCATTACCGCTCCTGTCTCTTGCCCCAGCTACACCCCCAGCCAGATTCTGGTCCAAAGGGACGCCTCCCTGAAGATGTGCTGCTCAAAGGTAAGCAGGAGCAAGGGGTCCCAGCAAGGATTTTGCAATGCCACCCTTCCAGCTCTGATGCTCACCTGAACCTGTCACTTAGGTTTATTGGGTACCTACTTCATGCCTGTCTTTGTGGGTACATAAGACTCAGTTCCTGGCTGCAAGGATTTCAGGTGTCTGATGGGGAAGATAAAATGTAGTCCCCGTGCGAAGCCAGGTAGTAAGCTAGACTGAGGGCTCAAGATACTCCAAGGAGAGGAGGAATTGTTGAGGTGGCCAGGAGCCCACCAGCATGCCAACCAATCCCTTGCCTTCCTGGTCCTTACAGAGCTGGAGCTGGTGCAGAATGCCTTTTTCACTGACCCCAACGATCAGAGTGCCTGGTTCTATCACCGCTGGCTTCTAGGTCGAGGTGAGCAGTGTGGGAAGTTTGGGGCTTGGAAGAAATAGAAAAAGATTTAAGGAGACCTGAGGCTGTGTCTCTCCCCAGCTGACCCTCAGGATGCTCTGCGCTGCCTACATGTGAGCCGGGACGAGGCCTGTCTGACCGTCTGCTTCTCTCGGCCCCTCCTAGTGAGTTCAGTGGCTTTTGCTGGAGAGCATTGTGGGATTGTAGGCGTGGTGTTTTGAGAACTGATGGGTATCTCTTTGTCCTCCGTGCCAGGTCAGCTCCAGGGTGGAGACCTTGCTACTCATGGTTGATGAGTCACCCTTGATTGTGGAGTGGAGGACCCCAGATGGCAGGAATCGGCCCAGTCATGTCTGGGTATCCCAGGATTGGTGGGGCAAAAATGAGGGCCTGGGCAGAACTATAGTGGGACAGTCAGAAAAGTGGTGAGACATTTCCTTGACCCTGTGCTCCTAGCTCTGTGATTTACCCACTGCCTCCCTCAATGACCAGTCACCCCAGCATACATTTCGTGTCATTTGGACAGCAGGCGATGCCCAGAAGGAGTGTGTGCTTTTAAAAGGTGATGTAACCTGCGTCTCCACCCCTTGCAGCAACCCCTCACCCCTCTCCTCCTCTCATGGCTGTTCCTTCCTACTATCTGCTCTTTCCCTCAGGCCGCCAGGAGTGCTGGTGCCGGGACTCAGCCACTGACGAGCAGCTGTTCAGGTGAAGATAGGGAGCATACAGACAAGGACAGGGGGTCTAGACTTGGCATCAGGCAATAGGGGCAGGAGGATGGTCTCAGATTGAATGCTGGGAATGACCAGTATCCCAAGGTGGAGGCATCATCGCCAACCTGCCCTGCCCTCTCTCAGGTGTGAGCTGTCAGTGGAGAAGTCCACAGTGCTACAGTCTGAGCTTGAATCCTGTAAGGAGCTACAGGAGCTGGAGCCTGAGAATAAATGTAAGGTCCAGTCCCTGAGAGCCTGCTTCCCAGAGTCCCTCTAAGGAAGTCCTGCTCATGGTAGCCCTGAAAGGTAGCAGGAAGAGTCTGAAGAGCATGGGGGCAGTAGAATCGAGGAGAACGCCTTCATTTTCCCAACCCCTCAGGGTGCCTACTCACCATTATCCTGCTGCTGCGAGCTCTGGACCCTCTCCTGTATGAGAAGGAGACACTTCAGTACTTCCAGACCCTGAAGGCAAGTCGAGCCTGGGGAAACAGGCCAGCGGTGAGGCCGAGTGGGTGGGGGGAAGGCAGCTGATATACATACCTGCCTACTCCATCCCTGCCAGGCTGTGGACCCTATGCGAACAGCTTACCTGGATGACCTGCGTAGCAAGTTCTTGCTGGAAAACAGTGTCCTCAAGATGGAGTATGCTGAGGTGCGTGTGCTGCACCTGGCCCACAAGGTATGGGCTGCCATGCTCACTTCCATAGGCCCTTACAGCCGGCCTCATCACACCCTGGCTTTGCCTTTCATCTCTGGTACTTTCCTTGTCATTTTCTCCCTACCCAGATTGAATCCCATCAGCTTCCTCCCAGCCTACTCCTCTTCCAGGCCATGCTTTCTGTCACCTAGCCTAGCATTCTTGTCCCCTAGTTTCACATCCTGAGTTGCCAGAGCCTCCTCATGCTGCCCCCTTCCCTGGGCTGGGCTGGTCACATCTTCATTCTTCTGAGTGCCCCTTACCATTCCTACCATGCATTCCTGTGCTTCTCATCCTGGAAAAGTCGCCAAAACCTAAAGCTCAAATGTTTTCTGGAGATTTCTGATAAGGCTTCCTGTGGGGAGTGGAGAATGGGAAGCCTATGAGAACTTGACATAAGCACAGCTATGCCCAATAATCTGCAGGCTGAGTTGGCACAGCCCCAGCTGCAGAAGGGGACCAGGGAAAATGCAGCACAGCTGCTTTTCCTAAGATGTTTACGTTCAGAGAGTAGCGATCTACCTCTTTGTTTGCCACTTATATAAAAGGCTTACTGAAGGAGGACAAGGAGGGTGGCTGCTGTTGTGTGTCTGTAAATCTAAGGACCAAGACTTTAGAAGTTAGGCTAGAGATTACGGGAAGCAGGACAGTGCAAGTCTAAGGACTGAGACTTTAAAGAATAGAAAGGAAGAAAGGCTTTAAAGAATAGAAGTAAGGTTTTAAAGAATAGAGAAAAGAAGCAAAGTAAAAGAAGTAAAAAAGAAATACCAAGGCTGTTGTATGTCTCCATCCGAGCACCCAGCACCCTTGACCCCAGCTTTCTGCATGTTTGTCTTCTGTCTTTTGTCCTTTCTGCATCTCCAGTCGCCTCCAGTTAGGTTTTTTTAGGATGAGCTTGCACGGGTTGCAAGGGCTTTCAAACTCTACTTTTCTTGTTTCTAGTCCTTCACAATGAGTCTTCCCAATATCACTTTACCATGTCACTGCTTCTGCTCCAGGAAAATCCCTTCCTGGCTCAGCAGACCCATTCCTACTAGTAACTTAGTTCACTGTAGCACCCAACATGATCTCTTGTCCCTTCCACACTCCAGGCTGCCTCCTCCCACCCAATCCCACTGGTCACCCCACCCCCAGTATTCCCTATCTGCCACATTTCCCTGACATGTAGCATGTGCTGCTCTGAGCTGTCAGGTAGCTTTCTCACCTGCTGGTGGCCGCCCAGCAGAGGTCCCCAGGGGCCCATGTGGGCCACAGAGGGCAAGTGCTTGAGAATGTTCTCCCAGAACTTGCTGGGTATCTTATCCCCCTCCCAATCCTAGGATCTGACGGTACTCTGCCATCTGGAACAACTGCTCTTGGTCACCCATCTTGACCTGTCACACAATCGTCTCCGAGCCCTGCCCCCTGCCCTGGCTTCTCTGCGCTGCCTTGAGGTAAAGCATTTATTCCTCCACTGCTGTCATGGGGGGTACATTTTCCCCTCCTCCATCTCAGAACCTGCCCACATTACAAAGATGTCTAGGACCTCCAAGCCCCCACAAGTGACCTCTTGCCCTCCCCCATCCATAACCTGTCCTAACCTCATGAATCCTTCTGTGCACTGTAAGCTGATTGCCCTGGGCTCCTCCATTTCTTTGTACCAGCCCTAGGCTGACAATTGCCTGGGGCTTTGTGTTGTCTTACTACCCAGGTGCTGCAGGCCAGTGATAATGCCATAGAGTCCCTGGATGGCGTCACTAACCTGCCCCGGCTTCAGGAACTATTGCTGTGCAACAACCGTATCCTTCCTTCTGTCTGCCTTGCAGAGGATTGGGGTGAGGTGCATGCACAGAGGTACAGACTGCAGACACAGACAGCACCACCCTGAGGCATGGTGGGAGACTGGGACCCTGGCAGTGCGAGCTGAGGGGCAATGGTAGTCTGGGGCTGTCTGGGGCTATCATGAACTTGTACTGGTGGAGTTTTGCAGAATATGACTTCCTCAAGCCAGAATTCACAACCAGATTAAGATGCAGATGTTCTTGTTGCCACATGGTATTATAAAAATCAGGAAGTTTCATATTTTAAAAAATCTTGAACTCTGATTCTGCTTTTAAAAGTTGGAAGTTAAAGCAGTCTTTGGCCCACATTTCCCCTCAGTAGCCCTTGGTCATTGTTGAACAGTGAATGCTACTTTGCCATTGTCTCCACCACTCCTAATACCACAGCAGCCTGCTTCATGTGCTTCCTCCCCAGCCCCTGTGGGCAGGTGTTGGAAGTCCCTGCCTAGAGCCTTACTCCTTTTAGGGAGGCATGGAGATGCCTATCAAACAGGCTTCCAGGCAGTAGTCCCCAAGGAGCAGACGGATCCAGGGAAACCTGCCAAGGAGCAGACGGATCCAGGGAAACCTGCACAACTTTTCTTGACTCTTTTTGCTCAAGGCCTCCAGCAGCCTGCAGTGCTCGAGCCTCTTGCCTCTTGCCCCAGGCTGGTCCTCCTCAACCTGCAGGGCAACCCACTGTGCCAAGAAGGGGACATCCTGGAACACCTGGGTGAACTGCTGCCTTCAGTTAGAAGCATCCTCACCTAAGAGGCCCTGCCCCCCACTCTTGCCCTTTAACTTATTGGAACTAAATAAAGAATGGAGAGTCCTCTTCAGGCTGCTGAGCTGCTGTCCCTGTCGCCACTATGCCAGTACCTCCATTACTACTGTCATGTATTTTGGGAAAAAGAAAGGGAAGAGACTTGGGGTGTCTCTGCTTCCATTTAATGCTGTCCACCCTGCTAGTCCCTATCATGGAGAATCAAAGCCTCAGTGTTGGGGGCAGGATTTAAGGCTGGAGCTGGATTTGAATTTGTCTCTGGCTTAGGGCTGGACTAGGGATCGGAATCAGGTTATGGTTTGGGCTGAGCTGCAAAGCAACTGTCTCTCTAGCTGGAAGAGATTATAAAAGTTTCTCCTTTGACCCCTGCCCTTTCTGATACCCTCTCTGCCCCAGCTCTTACTCATTGCAACTGAGAATGCTCAGGTGCTCTGTGTTCCAGGAAGAGTGGGTCAGGGCACCCATGCTCCACCCTGTGGTAACAGCAGTATCAGTCCTCATGAACAGTTGAAGAGCCCTTGGAAATACGTGATCCTATTTGATCTTCACCAGGTCTCAGGGATGAGATGATTAGACCTCCTTTTGTTCTGAGAGACTGCTAGATTCACCCAAGATTGCCATACTCATAGGTGCCAGAGCCAAAGTCATCTACTCCTTGGTTTAGTATTCTGGCCTCATTTTCTTGCTTTGGTATTAACATGGAATGGTTGGGCAGAGGTCTGGCTTCAGTTCCCTAAGGTGAACTGCTCCCACCGTGCCTGCCATACCTTGTCCTGACTTTGAAAGTCCTGCTGTACCAGGAGAGAGGAAAGGGGTGCGGCTCAGGAATTAGGGCTCTGAGTCAAATCTGGCTGGGTGGGGAGAGCGGAAGATTGATTGAAATGAGAGAGAGTGTAACAAGCATTTTCCTCGTTCTCTGGAATCTGCCTGGGCCCATGTACTCACATCCGGCCACTCGGGGCCCTGCCCCTCCCGGTATCCCAAGTGATGTACAAACACTAAGACCACAACGAAGTCCTTTGGCTGACCTGCCTCATACCTGCCTAGAATTTCGATTTTCACTGGGGTGTGTACTGAGGGTGTTGGAGGTAGAACAGACCTTCTGCCAAATTCTGGTGCTTGCAGCTGGACAAGAAACATTCAAAGTAGGTGTAGAGGGCTCCCTGCCAATTCCTGGAGCCTTTCTGTCCCCACTCCTGAGGCACCTTTCTACCTGATACATCTCCGAACAGCCTCTCCTGGAGTCTACTTTCTTATGTCTTTTTTTGTCAGCCCTGTTTTCACTATTTTCTGTTTGATGGCCCAGAGGCACAGCTGGGACACCAGTGGGATGGAGTGAAGAGGCCTCTGGCTGGGTGCTGCAGGCCCAAGGAGAGCCTCCCTAAGGATGCCTGGCTCCTCTCTGCCTTGGGGTTGTCTTAGTGACATCTCTGGTGTTTCTCCCAGAGCCAAAGGTAGAGTTAAGAAGAATATAAGGTTGGAGAAGAGGAAGAATGTTCAACTCCAGCTGACGCAGACACCCCTTCCAGTGAGAAAAGGGATTATGCTATAGCCTGGAAACGGGGCCTCAGTTCCACCCAGGCCTGAGTGCTGGAAGGAGAAAACAAGATTGCTCCTACACTCACCTCCCTAATCCCAAACTTGGGAGACACAACAAGCTGAGAGGCAGCTCACTCATACTGGGGGCTGTGGAGCAGCTGGAGGAAGTAAAGTCAGATGGCGGGTGGGGGGGGCGGTGGTCAGAAGATCTGGTAGAGCTGGTAGGTCAGGGACTGGCTGGTGGAGCCAGTTTGAGGGCCTGGCTGCTGATGTCATCACTTTGCAGTCTGGGATGCTGGGACCTCCCCGGGCAGAATGAGTTCCAGGCCCAGGTGAATGGGCCAGCTTCACAGGACCAAGTTTGGCCTGGGCTGCAAGGGAGCTTGATATCAGGGGCCTACGCTAGCGAAGGTAGGCATCAACTTTGAGACAAAAGTGATGCCACATGGGGCTATGAGTGACAGGGGCTCTCTATCCTGTTGCTTTTCACACACCCAATCTGGCAAAAACCAACCTAGAGTAGGGTCCATCACACTGGTGGTTCCCCTCACCCGCCCCAAGCCTTCCATTTTTCGCCCCAGTCTCAGTTCTGACAGACCCAGACCCCGCCTTCTCCCTACATCATCTCCTTTCCTAGAAAGGGGAAAGAGGGTGGGGCGGTCCCCATTTCCCGCCCCTATCTCTGGAGACAGCCCCCAGAGGTCAGCCTCTTCCCCAGGGGGGATGGAGCAACAGCTTCCCTTTCTTAGCAGCAGCTGGGCTCCGCCCTCCTTCCCCTCATAAACCACTTACCCGGCCCGCCCCACACCTTCCACTTGGTCCTCGGCATCCAGCCTGTCTGTCCTGTCCCATTCATCCCGACCTACTCTGCCCCAGTCCCAGGACCCTGCCATCACCAACACCGCTGCCAGGTGAGGAGCTAAGATGTTTGTCTTGGTGCTGAGCCTCAGTGTTTGGCTCTGTCTGGGTGGCACAGTGAGGTCAAGCCCAGAAAGGAAGAGCACAGGCCAGTGGGGTACCTGTGCCCTAAGCCAGATGCCTCTCCTGGCACCTGCCTCACCCCAGAACTCCCAGCAGTCCCACAGTGGGGTTTGCCCCGACATGAGGAATGCCAAGGGTCCTCTCCCTATGCCACCTGACTGACTTGGCAAGGGAGTCCTGAGTGGGGAGATCTCTGCTGAGAAATAAGTCCTAGAGGTTGTCAGCATCGTGGACCTCTAGACTAGAGTGCTGGCAGGTGGAGGAACCAGGCCAAGGGACAATACTGTGCTCTCTGGGAACCCTATGCATTTCCTCAGATGGGTCCTGCCTGGAGTGTGTTTCTTCACTAAGCATCTGTTTTTGGATGTGACTTGGTAGGTGTCTATATAGAGGTGGAGGGAAGGCTTTTTTCTGCAGTGTGGGATAGTTTCTCTAGGTGAGTCTGAGTGGAGTATTTGAGGGTCTCTGCTGAGTCTGGGGAAATCTCTGGGTCAAGGTCAGACTGTCTCAGCCATCTAGCTGGGGCTGAATCAGCTCCCTGCATAGTGGGTTTCTGGGTGGGCTGGCTGGGGTATCCTGGGTACAAGGTAACCGGAGCCTCCCCTGCCTCTTCCTCACAGGTGCAATGGATGGTCCTCGCTCAGACGTGGGCCGCTGGGGTGGGAATTCCTGGCAGCCCCCTACCACACCTGAGCCAGAGCCAGAGCCAGAGCCAGACAGACGCTCCCGCGGAGGAGGAAGCCGGTCCTTCTGGGCTCGCTGCTGTGGCTGCTGCTCACGCAGGAATAGGGCAGATGATGACTGGGGACCTGAGCCCTCTGGCCCTAGAAGTCGAGGGTCTGACTCTCGTGGGGTCCGAAGACCTGAGTCCCGGGGCACTGGTGTAAATGCAGCTGGAGATGGTACCATCCGAGGTGAGGCAAGCTTTCTACCTCAGCTGACAGCTGAGAGGCCTTAGTGGGACCTGAGGCTCATCCTGATATCTCTAGGGGGCTGGGAGGCTAATGAGGGAGGTCTGGACTCCTTGTGAGGTCCCCATTGACTTTGAGATGTGGCCTTGCAGAGGGCATGCTGGTGGTGACTGGCGTGGATTTGCTGAGCTCACGCTCAGACCAGAATCGCCGAGAGCACCACACAGACGAGTTTGAGTACGATGAGCTGATTTTGCGCCGTGGGCAGCCTTTCCATGTGGTCCTCTTCCTGAATCGGGATTATGAGTCCTCTGATCACATCACCCTTGAGCTGTTCATCGGTGAGTGGGCCCTGAAATGGAGAAGGTGAAAGTCCTAGATTTGCTGGGGAAGGGCTGGTTTTAGCGTCTCAGAGGTCTTTAGGCTCCTCCCTCTCACTCCTCTCCTCTGCCAGAGAAGGCAGGTATCTGCTGCCTTTTTTGTTTGTTTGTTTCTTTCTTTCTCCCACTGAACCACCCTCCCAGCTAGGACAAGTGTATGCCCCTAGGGGTGTGTTTTAGGGAGGGTCTTGGTGTTGCAGTTTTCCTAACCTTGCTGTCCTCAAGCCTCCTCTGTCTCACAGCACTTTCTTTTCATGGCCAGCCTTGCTTAGTGTCTCCTTCAGCACTGCAGTCTTTTCTTTCTGGGTCTGCTTTCTACAGGGTGTGACTGGTTTCTCTCTCTCTCTCTCTCTCTCTCTCTCTCTCCCTCTGTATCTCTATCCCATGACCCAGGGCAGATGCCTCCCTCATCGCGTTGCTTGGTGACCGTTGACTGCCCAGGCTGGTGATTATGTACTTGCCTGGGGCAGGCGACTCCTCTTACCCTTTGATTAGAACCAACCTTGCCCACCCCAGCCTCTAATTTCCCAGGTACCCCCACCACTTCCATCAGAGAGGCCCTGGGCTCTGGAAACTGTAGCCCCAGTGAAGCAGGAAGGGTTGGCCTTTGGTATGTGGACTGCCCCCTCCTGTGGGGCAGGAGATCCACACCAGCCAGGGTGACACTGGGGTGGCCAGGCAGGCAGAGGGTAGCAATAGTGCTGGTCTCTCCTCCCTGTCTCTCTGCCTGTGGGTTCACTGTTAGGGGAACAGGTTTGGGATGTTGGACTAGGGCTCTGCCCTGACACATGGACAAGCATGGGGCAAACACAATGTCACTTCCTGGGAGATTGTCACAGACTAAGGTGAGGACCCAACTCAGGGACACACACACACTGGCTCATAGACATTTTGGGTGGGGCTGGAAGAAGTCTAAGTCTCCATCCCTTCTCCCAGCTGAGGCCTTCACCATCTAATTCCTGATTTTCTCACTCTAGGAAACAACCCTGAGGTGGGCAAGGGCACCCACGTGATCATCCCAGTGGGCAAGGGGGGAAGTGGGGGCTGGAAGGCCCAGGTGACCAAGGCCAGTGAGCATAATCTGGACCTGCGGGTCCACACTTCCCCCAACGCTATCATCGGCAAGTTTCAGTTCACTGTGCGCACACGTTCAGAAGCTGGGGAGTTCCAGTTGCCCTTTGACCCCCGCAACGAGATCTACATCCTCTTCAATCCCTGGTGCCCAGGTGAACCAGCTGGGGTCAGGAG